ACATGTCCAACTTCTCCGTTGGACACGATCATCCCATGGGTGGCTGAGAGCGACGACCATCTTCTTTTCTTGCGTCGGATGCAAGAGCTACTTGTCAAGGCACGCGACCAGATGTCAAAGACGTAGCAACGCATGAGCCAACAGGCCAATCGTCAGCGTCTTCCTTGTCCATTCCGCGCCAACGACCTCGTACGGGTCTCTGCGGCGGAGTTCAGCCTCGAACAAGATATCTCTCGCAAGCTCCTCCCGAAATGGGTGGGGCCCTGGCCGATCGTGGCACCCGCTGGGGATGCACCCGAAGGACTTTCCTTCGTCACTAAGGTGCCCGCCCACTTGCCCGTCCACCCGGTTTTTCATTGTTCCAAGTTGGCTCTTGGAACATGTCGACTTTCCTAGGCGACGATGGCAAGACCCACCCTCTATGGATGGTTTCCAAGAGGTTGGCGACATCATCTCTCGGCGACGCTACGGCAACAGGCCGACCGAGTACTTGCTACATTTTTCGTACTGCAGCCATAAAGTTGACCGTTGGTTGACCCGTGCGGAACTTTTGGCAACAACTCCTGACGTTCTCGGACGCTATGAACGCAAGTTGCAAGGCAAGACGGCACCTTCGGCTCCACGTCGTACTCGCATCCAAGTTCCACCTTCAGATCGTCAACTTCGCCCTCGAACTAGCTTGACTTCATAAGGAGGGGGGTGTTACATGCTGTGCCTGCACACAGGCCAAATTTGAGGGGCCCGATGGTTGCTGAGGGGCCCCCGGGCCGCGTGCCCATCCGACACACGCCCTGGAGGCCCACAACAACCTTTAGGCCGACGGGCGGTGCGGAACCACAAGGATCTGCACGAGGATGCTACACGGGCACTTGATTCCCGTGTACAGGAAATGGAGCAAGTTGCACCAAGACCAGATGCTGGCGAGTCCAGCAGTGCACCCTCTACCCGCCAATGGGAGGAACGAGTTGACCACGTAGTCGCAATGCTCGGCGACATCAGCACCTTCGTTGCACCAGCCACCATCAGCAAGCAGCTGGACACCTTGAAGGCCGAGGTTCAGCAACTACACCAGCGGCCCAACAAGGATGGCAACACCAGTGCGCAGCACTACAAGATGTCGATATTCCAAATCGAAAAGTTCGATGATTATACTCATCAAGACCCGGTCCCCTGGTGGGAGGGCTTTATGACGCAACTTTGGATTCTTTTCGTCCCCAAGCACTCGTACATCGGCGCGTTGTTCCTCAACTCAAAGGGCGGATGCCAGATCTGGCTCAGCCACCTGGCAACCATTCACGGCGTCCAGGTCGCAGATCTGCATGAGAAGATCTCTTGGGAGGAGTTAACGAGGCTATGGAAGAAGCGGTTCATCGTGGATGACGCCCTGGCGCTCGCCATCAACCGCCTCTTCGCCATGACGCAAGGCAACACATCGACACGCGACTGGCTCACGGAATGGCAAAAGATCGCGGCAACGCCCGATCTCGAATTGCCATTTTCGCATCTGCACCGAGAGCTCTACAACTGGTCATGTGCCGCCTTAAGACGTGCACTTGGTGATCGCGAGCAATACACGACCTTCGCTGAAATCATCGACAAGGCAAGGGAGATCATCGACTGGTCATGTGCCGCCGTAAGCCGTGCACTTGGTGATCTGCACACGAGAAGTGAGCGTGGCAGCCAACCTACGTGGAGAAAGGGAAATTTGGTCCGCGTCCGCAGCATGTCGCTGCAGTCCAAATGGACAACATTGTGGAAGACCCGAAAGCCACCCAAGCATTACGTGAGGGAGATCAGGTGGCCGTTGTCCAGCCGCGAAGCAACAACAACTCCCGAGGAAAAGGGAAGGCGAAAACCGCATCGCCGACCGGAAACGGACAGCCAGCACCATGGGTCAAGTTTCACTTGACCGAGGCCGAATACAAGTGGCGCGGCCGGTATGGCTGCTGCTATTGGTGCAACAGCACCAAGCACAAGACCTCCCAATGCCCAGATCAAGGCAAGGAGGATGTTCGGCCTCGCATCAACTCGGGAAACTGAGTTGCACGGGAGGTGAGGCGACCCCACCTCTCACTCCGCCAGATTCGACCGCCTTGCTAGCGGCCTCCTACACATCTGGGGAGGATGCGAATGTCGCAAGTCCTCGGTTCACTTATGAGGATTATGCTGTCCACTTGGTCCCACCGTTGGACCAACCCCTCCACGTGCAACAATCCACCGCATGCACAGTTTCATCACCATCGGTAACCGATTCGGCAGCTTCGCCGCCATCTATCGCCGGGGATTCGACGTCATGGTCAAGACTTGAAGAGCTCGACCCATTGACGTTTGCGGACTTCCAATGGATGCCCCTTCCCCCGTTCGGTCGATTGTCGAAACCGCATTGCAACGTGCTCATGGCACAATTGCGGGATTACTTGCACACTGCAGTACCAACTCCGTTGATGGACGCCGGAGTAGAGGTTGTCAACCTTCACGACTACGTTGCGAAGATCGACCGCGAGTTCAAGACACAACGGTACGACGACATCGACGCGCCATTGTTGTACATACGCATTCAGATCGGAGAGGCGACCTGCATTGCTTTGATCGATTGCGGAGCTACTCGCAACTACATGAGCCAAGACTTTATGGTACGTGCTGGCCTTGGGCCACGTGTTCGGAGGAAGTCGCAGCCCACGCAACTCACGTTGGCCGACGGTCACATGCACAAGTCAATCGACCGGTGCATTGATGTCGTCCCCGTGTACTTTGCCCCACATGCAAGCGAGGCCGTGTCCTTCGACATTTTGAACACCAAGTTCGACATGATCTTGGGCATGTCATAGCTGAGAAGCGAGGATCACCCGGTGAACTTCTACCACCGCACCGTTCACGTTTGTGATCGGAACGGAGTACTAGTCCCATGCACGGTACCTCCTCCTCACCCTTCGATCAGCTGCCACGTGGTGTCCGCCGCAAGCATTCGAGCTTCCATCATCAGGGATGACATCGAGGAGATGGGGGGGTGTTTTCTACACGCCCTCCCGCCCCATGACATTCCATCGACGGACTCATCACCGGACCCACGCATCACCGAGCTTCTCGACGCCTACGGCGACGTGTTCGAAGCCCCGCACGGAGTACTACCAGATCGGC